AATAATTTCACGACAAATTGTCGTCGATCCGTGTCGTTGAACAATGAAAAATTTGTTGTGAAATTATTGAAGATAAAATAGAAGTTTGTGAGAAAAAACTGCGGGTATTTGAACTCAGCGTGTTCGAAACCCGTCAAAATATTTCAGGTCTAAGACATGCTAAATGAAAATCGTTTTCTAGGAACTTTTCGAGGTCACAGCACACGGACTATTAATATATTTTACATCGAAATGTAGCAAAAAATTAAAGGTAGGGTATATGCTTCTACAGTATGATAAATCATCCATGCAGATACAACAATCAGGCATCATAAATATGTATAAATGCCACTGTACCCCCTCTGACAGAAATCGAGCCTGTTCCCCAGCTGGGATTTCGGTGCAGCGCTCGAACCGACTGGGCTACAGAGTCCTGTTCCAGACCGCAATGACTTTTATCAATAATGCCGAAAATTAACTAAACTATTCCATGCATGTTTCAGATGGAACATCGCTTCAAAAAAGTCAACCACGACGGAATAAAATGTTCCGTAATTTTAGCCACGAAACTTTTTCTTTCATTCTTTATCCTGCTATATTTTGGTGGACGTCTTGTTGTTGGCAACAAAGATATTCCATGTTGTCACGAGATTTGGAAAGACCTTGGAAACGATTTGGCAGACTGGCGCGAGCGATGTTTGGACGGAGATCACGAAATTAATTCATCATGTTGTCAAGCGGAAAAAGAATATTTTGAAGAAAGGAGACGCAGCCACAGACAGATGTGTTTTTATGAAGGTACAAGATCATAGAAATTATTGTTACTTGAAGTTGTTAAATTAAAGGAGCTGTGAATGCATGGTGGTAGTTTGCGGTAGAGGTATAGGGGAGGAACACTACTTTCTTATTAATTTAATTAAAAAGCATTTAAACACTGCAGCTGTTGAATCCATTTTAATGAAAGCATATACAGTTTTCAACTCAAATGTCTAAATCCCTCTGACTATAATATATAAAATATAAGTTGTTTTCAAAAAGCACGTCTGATAAATGTGCCAATTAAGTGTTTTCAACGTTTGGAAAATGAACTTTTGTTCCATAAACTATGCATTTACATTGTTATCTATAAGCAAGATCAAGCAGGGTATGAAAAGGTAATCTAAATTTAGCACGTTTTTAGCGTTTATCAAGTGTTTATGATATGGTAAGACGGTCCTTCAATCTACAAAATGCAGCATTTAGAACTTAATTAACTCTAACTTGCTGTTAAAAAAACTGTAAATGCGTGAGTTTTTTTTGTAAGTTTTAAATAAAATAACTAACTATGTATTGTGCTCTTGTATCGAAAAAAAAATACTAAAGAAGACCAGCGTGACACGATACAAGCAAAGTATCTGAAAAGACCTGTTCAAATATCGTGAAAGATATACTGAGTTTTTCAACTTTGGGCATAGTTTAACAATCTAGCTGTCGTCTTGTATTTTTTAAAAGAGAGAGAGAGAGAGAGAGGCCCTGAGTAAGAGATACAGTATGTTCGATGCAGCAGGTGGAAACGACGTTTGCGAAAATTATCCAACACTAGTGAGGGTCCTGATTTGAACTCTGAACGATGTTTTGTTTTCTTCCAATCAGATAGATTTATTCTACTTGATAAAGGAAGTTTTATAATATAGACCTTTCGCTCTTGACCTTAAATTGAATTCATGAATGACGTCTGGAAGAGAACTTGAAACTCACTGTAAAGGGAATACTGAACTACAGTGGTTTTCATAATATGCATTTTTTTCCACGGTTCAAGACGTGTATATGTTGATCATGAGTGTTCAGCAAAATAGTTTCCTGCATTCATACGCATACCAGTAGGTATGTAATCTAGTCCCGCTGATATTGTTCGCTTCAGTTTTTTTTCAAAGCTTTCAACACGCAAACAATCTATTGGAAGACATGATTACTGTCAATACCGTTCGCAGGTTCAAAAGAATTGACCCAGCTATTGTTACCAGTAGATTTTAACGATTTTTTTAATACTTTGACATCATAGCATAAAATAATTCTTAGAAAACATAATATAGACATGAGCTTTCGCGCGTTCTGATTGGCTGGCTGACTACTAAATCTTTTCAAAAAGAATGAATCGGCAAATTTGGTTTCAAAATCGACAAAATATTGAAAAAATCGTCCCCAGAAAACGAAAGAAGCACAAAATGTTGTATTTAACTTGAACGGTAGGATTCCTTTATTATTTTACTGTGTCAAACATGTTCACGGACAATTTAAAACTTTTTCAAAACTCCGAAACATTCATTTCAAACAAATTATAAAAACCATCCCGACTTTTGGGAAAAACCTTGCCGTGATATTCTTTAAAATCCATTTTATTTTGTATGCTATAGATTTCCCAATTTGTACGATACTATTTCTTTTGATATGTCTTGTTTTCATTGTGCTGTATGGTGTTATGACCGCTGTATTGTGTTTTCTAAACTTGTAAAGTAAAAAGTGGTATTAAAACTTTATTTCGAACGATATAGTTTTACATTTCATTTTACCAAATTCCTCAGCCATTTCCTGAAGAAATTAATGCTAAACAGAAAATATTTTTAATTCTAAGTCAGGTGAAAGAGTCATTCCGTTAATATTGTGTTTATATTCCAGGCAGAAATCGAGAAAAACAACTTTGTAATAAAGCAATAAAGTCACGCAAGAAGCCATTTTGAAAGCGTGCACAGCAAAAAATCATTTTCTTATTAAGAAAAAAAATTCTTAATTTAAGAAATTATTTCTTAAAACGAGAAATGGATTTTCTTAATAAGAAAAAGATTCTTAAAATAAGAAATATTTCATTAGCAAGATATTTTTTCTTGAAATAAGAAAAAAAAAATTTAATATATCTTGGATTATATTTGTTTTCTTAAACCAAGAATGTATTTTCCTACGATTTTTTCATCTTCATATCAATCATTTTCTTAAGAAAATATGATTTTCTTGTTTTAAGAAATACTTTCTTAAAACAAGAAATCAAATTCTTAACATAAGAATTATATTTGTTTTCTTAAAACAAGAATATGTTTTCTTACGATTTTTTCATCTTCTTATCAATCATTTTCTTAAGAAAATAGTGGTTTTCTTGTTTTAAGAAATAGTTTCTTAAAACAAGAAATCAAATTCTTAACATAAGAAATTATTTCTTAAATTTTCTTGAACGGAAAGAAAATTTAAAATTTGTTAAAATTTAACTACAGGAACTATAGAATGGCATTCAATTCTGGTGTTTAAAGACATATATAACATATTTTGTATATAGATTCATTTTAATTGTATAACACTTATTTCTAGAATAATCTGCATATGTATTACAGGGACCCAACCTCGTTCCACAGGGACCGCGGAGCCTGGATAGCACGGGCAATAGCTCACGCATGCAGGCTAGATTTTATACGGCCATGGCCCACGCCTCCCCCTGTTCCGCGGTCCCTGCATTTTTGCATGCTCAGGAGAGAATTCGCAACTCGGAATTAATTGCGGCTGTGCACAAGATTAATTAAACATAAGAATTCTCCTCTATCGTAGTATCTTTGTTAATTAATTTGTTAAGTTAAATCTGGGATGGATTTACTGAGGGGAGGGGAGGTGTGGGGGTGTAAAGAAAAATCAAGAAAGGGGTCCCAATTTCCCCATCTCGGGGGGCCCGGAATGCTGGAATTGTGGAACTTGTTAATTATTACGGAATATTCTGAAACACTGAGGTCGAAAAAGTCTGAAAAAGAAAGTTGTTTTTGAGGTGCCCCCCAACCGCTCTCCTAGATCATGCTGGATCCATCCCTGAGGTAAATTTGCGAAAAATATTGTGTTTTATTTTTATTGAAATGCTACATTTGCCCCCCTCCTGCAGGAAAGAAGATATCTTTCACCTACATTCCCCCTGATACCATACTATACATTCTAATTTACATTCTAAAGTTTGAATTTTTCTCGTGTTTTATTTAATAATTGCAGAGAATTTTCTTGACTTTTCGATAATTTATTATAGATAAAATTAACAGTCAATAACTGATTGAAAATGCAGACATGCAAGCAGCAATAGTTCGTGCATTGCCTGGGGGCCTGGTGCCTAGTTTACGTATCAGAGCGCGAAGAGGTTCACGGGATAGCGTCGTTTCAAATTTTTTTGTGCTATAAAGTGCTAACTGAATTCCAGTTCATATTTACAATATATTTATCAAATGTTTGCTATCCCAAACGACGGAAAAGGCATCGGAAAGGTCTTAAAATGTTATTCAGATCTCACAGGTAAGAATATTTTATTTTGACTTGTTATTTAAGCACTTTAATTGCGAAAGAATGTGTGATTGTTCTTGAGTCATTTGCCTAAAATTCCGTTGAATGTTTGAATTTGCCGCGTTCAATTTGCATAAAAAACCTACGAAATGTTGGTTTCTGGCAATGAAAGAGAGAATAAAATATCAATTCGAATCCATTATAGCAAATTCTGTACTAAATTACGCACTAATGCACTATTGTTAACAATTTAATAGCAATAAATATTGCCTTTGGCTGTTTGACATATAAATTTGGCCTTGTATATATTACTGTAAACATTCGAATGCCTTCAAAGATATGTTAGCATTTTAATACATGAATAAGGATTAGAATTACAGAGGAATTTATAAAGCATTGAATGTAATTTGAATGTAATATTTTCAGTGTTTTGATCTTAATAACCCATTAAGGCTTACAAATGTGCCCAAATGCATCCCTGCTGTTGCTTTACTTTGCCTAGTGCCAGACAATTTCACTCTTCAAGGGGCCGGAGAGTCTTGCCAGCCCTTAATGAACTTCAGTTTATAATGTGTAACATGCTTGTGACACAATGCCTGAAATGTTTGCTTTATGTATTTTCAGATTAATAATGGGGCTATAGAGTATAGCCTGGCTCCAAATATTGTTCTCAACAATCAAGGAATTCTGGATTGAGTTGACAAACTGGTGTTGTAAGGTAAGAATTAACAAGAATAAATAGTCTGCTTTAGTGCTTTATATGAAGAAAATGACAAACTGGCCCAGCTAAGGTAGTCACCCAGAACCTGTTCAATATGAGCCATGCTTGCCCGTTAAACCGAGTTAGCTTACTTGGCCGGGCCAAGTTGTTATTTGTTTCACATGAGGCGGGCTAGCCTGGCAACTGCCATAAGAAATTCCCGAACAATTTTATATATGGTGGGAAAGCGATATTTGTTTTAAGGCGTAAAAAAAATACCTGTGGTTCCGGTTCTCGACCGACCCTATTTTTTGTGCCGACCCTATTATTTTTTCAACGGCATTGACCGTGTGACCCTATTTTCTCCAGGTGGTTGTACAAGACCATCTCGGCACTTGCAAGTCTGTCCAGCCATGTAAGAACCTTGTTTGTAGGAATTATTACATTTCTTGATACTGCATCAAAAATTTAGTAAATATTAACAACACAATTACATGTGAATCCTAAATCTACCCCCAATGCAGCCCATTGTAATTAGGCCTGTTGGCACTGTACTCAATTTTGGTATCCGTAACATGTATATCATGCTTCGACTACTCCTATTCACACAGGCCGAGCATGGATAAATTTGATACAGGTACCAATTTTATCTGTGCCACACTAGGCGTAAAAAAATACCTGTGGTTCCAATTCCCGATCGACCCTATTTTTTTCAAAGTGATTGACTGTGCGACCTTATTTTCTCCGGATGGTTGCAGGCGCTGCCAATGACATCTGTTGTCACACTAATTATTGAAAAATCCATGAAAAAATATTCAAAAAAAATTATTTCCG